GCATGTGCATGCACGCACACACACACGCGCGTGCGCACGCACACATTTATATTTTATGTATATTTAACAATGAGATATATAAAATATGTTTTGAAGTACCTGACTCCTCCTTTTTCCATTGCGTGAACGCCAGTAATAGTGGTACCTCCAGATGAACAGACTTCATCCTTCAACTGGCCAGGATGTCGTCCAGTTTCGAGAACCATTTTTCCAGCTCCTATTAGCACTTGCGCTGCGAATTTAGTTGCCATTGGTCTTGGCACCCCCATTTTCACAGCCCCATCTGCTAATGCTTCTATGATGAGATATGCCTAAGTAAAAATATATTGAAATTATAATATGTAACTTTTTATTTCTTTAATTATAATAATTATTATAATTATTATTATTATTATAATTACAACGACTTACAAATGCTGGGCCACTACCTGACAAACCACCAATGCTATTTATAAGACTTTCTGAAACAGTTTGGCTCATGCCGATATAAGAAAATAACATATCCACCAGTTCCAGATCTTTCACTTCAGCGTTGTTGCTGCAATAAACTAAAAATTACACCTTATATTATCACATTAGCTAATTTATGCAATATATACTGCAATTTTTGAATGTACCTATAATTCCTTCTCCAATCATCGTAGGTGTATTTGGTATGGATCTAATTATTCTTGGTGAAATTACAATTGTAGAGAGTTTCTAAAAACATTTCGTATAAGTTATCGTAAAAATTGAAACGTTATATGTTACATAATATTCACTTTACTTACAACATACAAGACATCAAGAGATACTCCGGCGAGTACTGAAATAAAGAGCTTGGTCTCAAATTTTTCACCTGCTCTTCTTTCTACAATAGACTTAAGCGCATCATCCAGCATATGTGGTTTTACTGTTAGAAACACAATGTCACAGTTGTTCACAACTTCATTGTTTTTCAATGTTACACGAGCTCCTAGATCCCTCCAAAATCCATGTGTTCTGTCCGTACGACTAGAAACCCAGACATTATCTGGATTTAATATACCTATTGTAGATAAATATTTAGAAAGAAAAATATTTAGTTAATAAAAAATAAAAAATATTAGTTAGTTCCTTCTATATAATTTACCTTACTCTCATATTCATTTCTATCAACATCTATTTATTTTAATCTTTATTTTAATCTCTTTTTTTAATCTTTATTTTAATCTTTATTTAATTTGCTCGTAATTTTTTTGAATTCTTAGAACTAGAGGATAAGAAATTAGTTAAACTAAAATTATTAACTTATATATTAATAGGAATGAATATTATCAGTGATGAATATTAGAGTGATGACCAAGTACGTTTACCTCTTCGAATTAAGCCAGCGCCTATAGCACTAGCCATATTTCCGCCTCCGATAAATCCGACTTTGATAGATTTTAGATGCTGTTCCATTATAGTTGATCACGATTTATGTATTAAATAATTATACGCCGAAACAGTAAACAATTATCATTGTGTTTCTTACATATATGTATCAATAGGCCTATTCTGTAACTTTTAAAAAGGTATAATTTCACATGCTGCTAAAATAAGCAATTGGAACGAAAAGGTAGATCTGTTCACAGGCTTAGTCACTGTTATTCCAATGGTTGAAATTTTGTAGTTTGAACAGTTTCAACTGTAAGCATCAAATGCTCAAATGATGCTGACAGTGCTGCCGCATCATGTCGAACCTATGAATTGCATGTGTTCTTCTATTATGATCAGTTAATCGAATGCTAATCAGGATGTGGCGCAATATTTAGATTAATTAATGATAATTCTATAACTGGTTATGCAATTTGATAATTCTATAACTGATTATGTGCTCATGACAACAATTGCGCAGATATATTTTATATATAGTAAAAAAGTTGCACAACTGTCATTATAAACTCATAATGATTCATAACAAGTTACAGAATTCCATTGCTGTCGGCATTCTGTAACTTTTTAACGATAATTTTACGCGCACACTTTAGAGCGAATTAATAATCGTATGTACACTCAAAGAAAAATTTTTTTGATTTAAAGAAATGTTTCTTTGCTCTATGGTTAAAGAAAAAATTTCTTTGATTTGAACATTCAATCATTTCTGTAAATATCACTTTTTGAAATCAATTAAATTAAATTAAATTTCCTTTGCGTACGCCAATTATTATTCGTGTACATGCATGGAAAAAAAATTATTTTAAGTGCTAAGAGAAGACGCAATTTCTTCTTTTTTTGAGTAACGATTATTTTTACAAAAAACATTTTTTTGATAATATAATTTTGAAAATATAATTTTGAATACACCTATTATTTTACCTGAAATAAATAATATTTATGTAATATTTTTCTGAATGTACACGCGCATACTTTAGAGCAAATTACAACTGATCGTGAGTTCTTGAAAAGTTCTCAATTTTCACAATCAAGATATTAATTTGTAAATCAAATGTTCGCCATCGATACACATGAGGAGTGGGAACTGCCTGACTAAAGCTCTAAGTATACCAAAATAGTGCAAAAGTCCTTTATTTTCATCTAACTTGAAAAATATGTAATAGAAAATAACTTTATTACAGTGTTTTGAAAAGCTCTTAACATCAACTATTAGATTTTGGCATCAAAAATAGGATATTCTATTAAAAAAAATCAATTTCTTGATGATCTTGATCCGATTTTGGTAACGCAAACAGATGTGATCAATGAATAGATCTTTTTAAATCCTATAATTTTTGTCTGAAACATTTTTCCGTATCTTTTATAATTTTAAAGATTTTTTGGTGTCAAAGTTAAAATGGAACACTCTGCACATATTGGGTTGTCCGGAAAGTTCGTGCCGATGTTGAAGGAAAATTTAAATTTTAGTATACATTTATTAAATTATATAGGTTAGTCGGCACGAACTTTTCGGACAACCCAATATAATTTGTTTAAAGTATAAATATTAACACATATGTAAAAATGACTTCAATACTTAAAAAAAATAATTTACGAATAACCTTGCTTAATTTTGTGAGAACTATCATGCTACAATATTTTGTATCATAAATTTTGGGACACCTATATAATTTATTTATTGTATACTTATTGTAATTAAAATTCACAAAAACAAAATTTGCATTTATTAACATATTATACATACATTTATACATACACACGCATACGAAAAATATTGCATTCTGCTCTAACTAAAAAAAATATTATGAACTAATAATAAAATTTTGTAAAAGATGTCTATAATAAGCTATTCGATATTTCTAATAGGATGTCCACACATACTACAAGTAAGCTTAAATTGTAGCGCTCTACTTCATTTTAAAAACATATTTTATCATAAAAATCTAATCTTTTGAATACTCTACACATCGTGAAGGATCTGTAGGATAGTATTCCTGGCATTTAGTCATTAATCTTTTGAGTGCTTGAATGTACTTCCTCTGAGTTTCATCGTTCATGACATGAGCAACATTTTTAGAGAAGATTTTTTCTCTACCCGTACGAGCATGAATACCAACCATAGTTACACCAATAGGCCATGGAGAATTGCCTATTGCCATTTGCAAATAGGCATCGCTAGCCTGAAACAAAAATTTGACTTTGTCATAGATACAAATGTTTACCATTATCATATTTATTACATTGACAGGATATTTATTTTATGTGTAATGTATCACATATGTACCAATATATAATTCCGCTGTAGCAAATGTTTAACAATTTCTGTTAAACTGTCAGTAATATCCTCCGGAAGAGATTTGTTGTTCAATTTTCTTAGAAGTGGTTTTAAATATTCTCTCGTTTGAGCATATGTTGCGCTATTCATCTTTCCTTTTGTGCTCATTTTTTCAGCAGTTGACCGACTGTTAAGTTGATTACCCCATATTTGAACTAGATATTGTACAAACAGAGTGATAACATTCATATCAAAATCTTTGTCTCCTTTATTCAGTTTAGTTGACATCTTTTCTATATCTTCATAAGTAACACTCTCATCAGGTACATTTACATCTCCTTTTCCATCAAGATTTTGGGATTTGGAAGATGTTAAAATCTCATTGAGATATGCTTGATCCACTTGTTCCATAGCTTCTTGAAAATCGTTTCTAAAGCCCTGTTGATAAATTATTACAATCAAAATTTTCATTTTAAGCTATTTTTTTAATTGACAAAAATAATGTATATAACAGTATAACAGATATTTTACTTTATTCACTTCTGGCTCAAGAATTTCACATTTCCTTAATCTTTTGAACGCTTCTACCTCAGATTCACTGAACAATAATATGGGCTCTCCCCGTTCGCGTAATCGCCTAATTACTTCTTGCCTAGACAATAAATGTTCAGAACTACTGTCTGTTACATGTTCTTCTGACTGCTGACTAACATTTAACGAAATAGCTTCATTGTTCCCCTTATCAGTTTCATACACTTCTTGTTGCTTCGATATCAATTGACTTCTCTTGAAGTACTTCTTATTATTTTCCTAAAAAAGATATTGACACAAATAAGTATTATAACAATCAAGAAACACTATAAAATTACAAACTACATATCACACATGCGACATACTAAGACGTGATTTTCTTCTAATTCTTTACGTTTCTTCATTATTTCTGCTTTTAGAATATCCATTTTGCTAATAAATCTTATACTCGAATCAATAAAAGTCCAGTAATATAAACAGAAAACAAATTTCATACGCTTTCATATCAGTAAATTAAGTACCAAGAAAAAACTTATATTTTCTTCGATAAATATTAAGAGCTCCTCAAATTTTGATAAAAATGCATTGAATCGATACGTTTTCGCGTAAAAATAAAGATTTGACAACAAAACAGTATCACTCTGTTCTGTAAATCGAAATATCTTAAGTCAAAATTATTTATTCAGGTTAGAAAATCTGTCAACCACAAAATATGTAAAATACTGTAATGCGAGCATGCGCTGCGACATCATGGTGGAAGATGGAAGGAATAACATAGTGTGCCTTCCAACAAGCGACACAGGATATTATTAACGTGATGCTACAAATGCTTTAAAGCAATTTTTGATTGGTCAATTTGTAAAATTCTTTTTTTTAATTGGTCAATCAAATGCTTCAAAGCATTTGTAGTAAGACTTTGACCGCAGCCACAAATGACACAATGGATCATTACCTTGTTGTTGGATAATGTTAAACAAAGATGATCATTGTGTTGCATCATATCGCTTGTTAGAAGGCACATAGTGACCCGAATTCAGAACATGTATATAAGGAGCTCTGCACAATAAAAGGAAACAGAGAACAGAAAAAAAGGCTCTGCACAATAAAAGAAACAGAAAACAGAGAATAAGAATTTCAATCTATCAGAAAACTATGTATTTCACAATACATGATTTCTGATAGGTTGAAATTCTTAGGCCGGATTCATATCTTGACGGAAAAGCGGAAAGCGGAAAAGCGAAAGCCAATCAGAACTCGACAGAAGCAAACAAACGAAATAGAACATTAGAAACGTAGGTATATTCGCGTCCACCATTTTTATTCCTTTTTTCACTCTTTTCTTTGTCCCCATTCCATAAAATTTGTTAATTACAAGAAAAATATTACTTCCCAAATGTTTAAATGCTTTTCCCAAATTTCTCCAAATGATTTCCAAATCACGTAGACATAAATAAATCAGAAATATTCAATTTGCTGCTGTGGTCACCGCAAAAAGATGGATATTGTTGTGTAGTTAACATTCACTTCTTCAGAGGGCGGTAGTGCAGTAGCATCACAGTATAACTAGTAGGGACACTTCATGTCGGCATCTTTGATCTCCGTGTCACAGTCACGTGAGCATCCGCCATGTTAACGTTTGAAAAATCCAAGAAAGAGGATATAATGCTCCATGCGATAGTCCATTGCTTTGAATTAAAAAACATAATTAAGGCCGTGTAAACGTAGTCAATGTAAAAATATTATCTTTTTTCACAAAATTACATTTGATTATGTTTAAGTTAATCTAACATAAATTACTTACTTTTTGTAAATTATAAAAACTTACTTTACGATATCTTTGGGATAACGAAAAAAAGTGCATTATGAATTTTTACTATTGTTACTGCATTGTTTAATACTGCACGTAACATAACTGTTCTTTTTTTATCCATTTTTTAGGAATATTTATGGCGCAGCTCTTAAATTGTCTTCTTTTATCACGGATATCTACTCACACGGAATCTGTGTAATATGTAGGATACATTTTTGTCATCTTCCATTTCATTGGATCCGGCAAAAAAACAAAAGTTGCGCAGCCATACCTGCGCGAACACGCATTTTTTCGCTGAGTGTTTCTACTGGTTATAGCATTTTGCGATTACAGGTTTTGGGCCATCTCGTCCTCTCTCAGGTTTTTCTCTGATTCTACTATGC